TTTTTTTTTTTGTTTTTGTGTAAAAACTCAGAAATTTTTTATTACGGTAGGTTGTTGTATATATTTTTTTTGTTATTATTATTTATGCATTGATTAAAGTATAACAATATGGTTACAAAAAAAAAAAATATCTACTCTCAGTTTCGTTTATATTTTAGTATGTCGGTACTTTGTATACATATTTGCAATTCTCCTTTTAGTTTCCTTTTTTTTCTTCTCTCACTGTATTTTTAATGTAATAATAAGTTGAAAAAGAAACGAATAAAAATTAATATTTTTTTTCAAAAAAAAAAATATTTATGTGTATTGTTAAAAGTTGGAAAACTTTAAAAAATTTTTATTATATTATGTACTTTTTATAATTTTCCTATTGAGTAAGGCGTCTGTGACGTGTCCCTCTTCCATATGTTTCATTATTATTGTGCTCGGTTATACTCAGTCAGTATACGGTATACTCAATTTTTTATTTTTTTTTTTTCGGTATACTTAATTGAGAATTCAAGATACATACGTTATTGAAGTTAAAATATATTATATACAATGCACACTGCATGTACATAAATAGTAGAATATACACTGTATATACATATATATAAAATGTATGTCATTATATTTTTTGGTGGTAAAAAAAAATTTTTTTTTTTCGGTGTAGTGTGTTTTGGTATTTTTTTTTTCTTCTTCTCTGTTTCTTTTGTTTTTATATTTTTCCGATTTTTTCTTTTCATTTATCTTTTTATTGTTTTGTTTTTTTTTTCATATTCAACGACAATACGGTACAAGTAGTAAGGGTATCCTAGTATTTACTTGCCCAAGTTAGTCAATCGTGGTCCGTGTTAGCCGTTACTCGTGTTTTTTCTCTTCTCTCGATGAATTCAAATAAAATAAAATTAAAAAAGAAAAAAATATTATTAAAATTAAATTAAAACAAAAAGAAAAAAAAATTTTTAAAACAATTAAAAAAAAAATTTAGTTATTTTTGTAATACAAAATATTTACATTTATAAGAATTAAAAATTTAATATTAAATATAACGAAAAATTTGTATAATTACAAAATCTCAAAATTTTCTATTACAAAAAAAATAAATCTTGGAATGTTTTTTGAAAATTTTTGGAAAACTTCTGAAAATTTTAAAATATAGAAAGAAAATTTTTTTAACTTGGAATTAAATACCTAGTATAAAACAAAAATAATTTAATATAAAATTTCAAAAAAAAAAAAAAACAAAATTGTTATATAGGCATATAAAAAATAAAAATCAAAAAATAAAAATAAAACCAATATAATTTTATATTCATCATTCTATTTTGAAATTGGGTCACTTATTATTCTTCGTTTTTATATTAAGTGTATAATATTATTAATATACATGTAAATACTCATATAGCAAAAAAAATATATATATAAAACAAAACATATGTGTAAAAAAAATATAAAAAATTCATATATTAAAATAAAAATATAAAATAAAAATCAAAATATCATTGTTTTTACTATACGCATTGTACATACTTACTTATACAATTTAGAAGCAAGAAATATATACATACACAATAATTATTTTCAATAATAAAAAAAAATAATTATGTTATTTTGAAATATACAAAAATAAAATATAAATAGTGATTTTTATACACAAAACTAGTTGAAATTAAAAAAAAAAATAACAAAACCTTACCATACCTTCATTAAATACAATAAAAATAATATTAAAACAATCAATTAATAATATAAAATTCTATATACAATATCTCAGCCATGGATTATGAATATTGTATATAAATTTATTTATTAATTAATTAATATATTAAATTATATTTGAAAAATTAATTACAAAATTTAAAATAAAATTAATAAAAAAAGTTTCAAAAGTTTTTCAAAAAATTTCAAAAAAAAAATTTTTTTTTTCTATTTTATTACAATTATTAAATATTAAAACAAATTAAAAAATAATATTTACATATATATATATTTAGTATTTTATATTTAATACTGTGGTTGCCTATATATATATATATAAAATTAAATTCAAAACGAAAAATATAAATAAATTAAAAATTATAAATGAAAATAAGTACACAATAAAACAAGAGAAAAGAAAGAATTAAAATTAAAAATTAAAACGAAATATATGAATACATATATATATATATATACAAAAATTATTTAAATAAAATTTTTTAAATTACCTGTGAAAACTATTGTGATTAAAATTAAAATATATATGTATATATAAATAAAATTTATTAAAAATAAAAAAAAAATTAATTGAAAATTAATGAAAAAAAATAATTAAAAGGGGAATTTTTCTTTAAATATTTGCGAAAATTTCCGTTTCTTAAAAATTTCCTTTCATTTCTGTTTCTACTTTCTTTTGGATATTACATACACTTATATATAGATAAAAAACGGATAAAATATCAATTGATATATATATATATATATATAAATATATAAAATATGTTTACAAAATATAATAAAAATAAAAAGAAATCTTCAATGTTTCTTCAAAATAACAATGAATATACATATATAAAATTTAAATAAAATAAAATAAAAAAAAAAAATTTTTGAAAAAATTTGAAAAATTCGAAAAAGTAATCAATGGTTTTCTTAATTTGCCTGTTAAATATATTAAATAAGTAAAAAAGGAAATTAATATTAATTAAATTTTATTAATATAATTATTATATATATATAACAAGAAAAAAACATTAGTTATAGTTAAAAACAAACCATATACATACACATTAAATATATATATATATTGCTCAGGAATATTAAATATTAAAAATTCTATTAATTATACATGAATATTATAAATTTATATAAATACCAAAAGAATAAAAAAAAAACCCAAAATCTAATATATTAAATTATTAATTTATTTGAAACAGAAAAAAAATTATAATAAAAATATAAAAATTAAAAAGAGAAATTAAAAAAAAAAAAATTGTGGATGGAAGCGAAAAATTAAATAGAATTTGTTATAAATGTGATATTTTTTGGTAATTCATATTATATAAAAGTATAAAATTTATTATTATTATTATAAATGTGAAAAATTTGCAAAAAAAAAAAAATTATTATATTTTTCATAATTATTATAAATAAAATATAACATTCAACGGTATATATATAACAGTAATAATAATTAACAATTTTCTTAAGCAAAGAGTAAATTATATATTATACACATACATATAAATATATATATTTCAACAAAAAAAATTATAATTAATGAGTTTAAAATTATAACAAATTAAACATTATAATTAAAAATATAACAATTTTATTTATAAGATTTCTTTAATACAAGCAAAACAAAAAAATTGTACATAAAATCTGGAATGCCAATTAATAAATAAATAAATTAATTAAAATAAAAAAAATATTTACTTAAAAATCCAATAGGAACTTTAAAAATTAAAAATTTTGTATATAAAATATTAAAAATAAATTAAAAAATTTTCTCATTTACCTGCATTATTAATTAATTAATTATTAATAACATTAATTAATAATTAAAAATTTTTATTCGAATCAAATTTTTAAAAATTATCTAAATTAAAAATAAAATCAAAAACAAAGTTAAAAAAAATTTGTGTATATATATAACAATTAAAACAAGAAAAAAATAAGTATAATAAAATTTTAAATGTTATTTATTTTAAAAGAAGGGAACAAACAAACACACAAATAAATAAACAAGAAAAAAGAGAAGAAACAAAAACAACAAAAACTCAAATGTTATTAATTTGTATAACAGTTATACCAGTTATATATTATTATATTCTATATACATAAACTATATGTATAACAAAAAAAAAAAACAAATTTAAAAATTGTTAGAAATGAAAAAAAAAATCATCATCAGTACATTTAAAATATTTGATGAAAAATTATTAAAAAATCTAGAAAAAAGAGAAAATTCACAAAATAAATAACGAAAATAAAAAACAAAATTATAAATTTAATTAAATTAGAAAAAAAATAAGGAAAATACTCTTTCGAAAAATTATAATTTAATTAGATTGAGTGCGCAGAGAGTTTTTAATATACAAAAAAATTAATTAATTAATTAAATTAAATTAAATTAAAAAAAAAATTTATTATACAAGGATTACAGTGCATTAATTATTATAATAAAATTAAAAATCATAACAATTTTAAATATTAAAATAAAATTTAAAATTTAATAAAAAAAAAATTAAATTAAATTATACAAAAAATAAAAAAGTTCAAAACGACCAAAAAAAAATTAGGAAAGCATTTTGAAAATTAAAACGAAAAAATTCAATTGGAAAAAATAATAAAAAAAAAAACATTTTGAATAAAATTTTTAAATTTAAAAAAAATCAAAAAATTCTGCAGACTTTCAATAAAAATTTTATTAAAAATTAATTATTTAATTAATTTTCAGTTTGTTTTGTATTTTTACAATTTTCGCTTTGAAAATTCAACATGTATTTATTTTCATCATTAATATTTAAAACAAAACTATTAAATCACAAATCCTGGACTTTTATTAGTGAAAGAAAACCCAACAGTTAAACTGAAAATTAAAAAAAAAAAATATTAAAAAAAAAATTCTTATACACTTTATGTTGCTTGTATAAAAACACGGCTTTGAAAAAAAAAATTTCTTTTAAATTTTTCCAAATATACTTTTTAAAATTTTAGGATTAAAAACAAAAATAATAGCCAACTTCCCTTTAGCTTTATTACTAAAAAAAAATCAGCTTATTTCTCGGTTACATCGAATTAGAAAAAAAAAAACATTTTATTTTTTTTTTAAAGTATAACAATTATATAATCAAAGAACCATCAAAGAATAAGACAACGGATTATATATACCATTTTTATACCATTTTATATATTTTATACAAAAAAAATTAAAAATTATAATAATAATAAAAAAAAAACAAAATTTAAAAAAAATTTAAAAACTTTTTGTTAAAGAAACAAATTGAAACTCTCATATGAGAACCTTTTGAAAAAAATAAAAAAAAAAATTATCAAAATTTTTTTTCGCTTGAAATTTTTTAATTTTAAATTTCCGTCCACACACAAAACATACACACGCATATTACTCTTTTCGATTTTAAAAAAAAAAAAAATTTATTTTTTAATAATTTTCTAATAAACAAAATTTAATATAGAAAAACAAGAAAATCCAATTTTCACCCCAATCATAGACCCCAAAAATAATTTTGATTTTAATTAATTATAAAAAAAAAAAAACTATTTAAAAATAAATGCAAAAATTTATAATAATAAAAAAGTTAAAAAAAACTTAAATACAAATTAAAAAACAAAAAGGAACAATAAACAAACAAACAAAAAAGCAAAGAATATTTTGAAAATATTTGCAAAAACAAAAAATGTTATTAGATATGGAGCCTCAACAAACTGCAGCGTCGTTTATGTCGTCGCTTAACATATCACCATTTTCAATGAATTTAGTTGATCAATCACCATCATCACCAGTACATGGTACAACATCTTCCACAACAAATCCAAATAATAATAATAATAATAACAATAATAATAATACAAATAACAACAATAATAATAATATTACAAATAATAATAATAATACACAATCATCAGATGGATTAAATACATCTGGTAATACTGGTGATCATAATATATCACCACCAGATTATGTATATGCAATTGGTAACACTGCTTTACATATGAACAGTAATAATAACAATAATAATAATACAAATAATAATAATAACAATACAACAACAAATAATAATAATAATCATAGTAGTGGACAACAACAGCCACAACATCATCATCATCAACAACAACAACATCAACATATTGTTTCTACTGCACATATTCAACAACAGCAGCAGCAACAACAACAGCAGCAGCAGCAACAACAACAACAATCATATAATAATTACAATCAATATCAAATTCCAACAAATCCGAATTTTTCATATTCATACATTTATAATATTGATTCACCGTATATTTTTTCAACAGGTTATCAAGATAATACATCATCAAATTCCCAGCATAGTGCTGGTGGTGGTAGTAGTATAAATGGTGGTGGATCTGGTAGTAATGGTATACCAGGTGGTGGGGGTGGCGGTGGTGGTGGTGGTGGTGGCGGCGGCGGAGGAAATGGTGGTAATAGTAATAATGGTCCAGGTACAAATAATAATTTATCTGGATCTGGTCAACAAAATATATTAGGAAATGGTAATAATAATAATACAACAGGATCAACTAGTTATAATTCATTATTACCACCACCAGTTGTTAATTCAATTGGTGGTGCTATTGGTATATCAGTTGGTGTTGGTCCTGGCGGTCATAACGGTAATACAATACAAAGTGGTAATATCGGTGGTGTTAGCGGTAATATTAATCATGGTCATGTTACTGGTGCTGGACATCATCATGGCCATGGTCATGGTGGTGGTAACAGTAGTAGTCACGGGAATATTACAAATGATCCATTGGATTTTAAATATTTATTTGAAGAATTATGCCCAGTATGTGGTGATAAAGTTAGCGGTTATCATTATGGTTTATTAACATGTGAATCATGTAAAGGATTTTTTAAACGTACAGTACAAAATAAAAAAGTTTATACATGTGTTGCCGAACGTTCATGTCATATTGATAAAACACAACGTAAACGTTGCCCATATTGTCGTTTTCAAAAATGTTTAGAAGTTGGAATGAAATTAGAAGGTAAGTGAATTTCAAATATTTTTATTTAAAAAAAAACTACTACTTATATACTATTATATACCTTATATATATATATATATATATATAACATAAATAAAATTATCGATAAGAAAGGATTTGTTTTCAAATTTCTCGCAAAAAAGGACTTTAGTAATAAAATAATAAAATTACTATAAAATTTCAAAACACATTCGCGAATGTTAAATAAGAAAAAAGAAAGGAAAACACCGTAACATCCTTAAATTATAAAAGTTGGGGGGTGTGAATGTTTTTTATTTCGATTTTTAAAATTGGCAGGCTTTCGTTCGTTTACCTGTTGTAATTACGGTTAGTTTACTTAAATCTCTCTACCTAGATCGCGTTTTTAAAGAACGTGCGTTTGAAAAGTTGCGAATAATAAAAAAAAATCTGTTTAAAGGTACAATTTTTTTTTTTAGTGCAATTTAATAATTTCTTTTTTTTTAATACACCAAATAAATCAAAGTGACACAAGTCATAAAAATTCAATCGTAAACAGCTTTAAAATTACGAACGCAAAATAGTTATTGCAACACTATTTGTGTGTTGATTTTAAAAATTTGTAATTTAAATTATTCGGAGTAAATAAAATTATTCAACTTATAATTCTTATAGACGGCAAGTCTACATGAAGTCTTAAATTCTCATTCATTTCAGGGCATTGAAATTTGAGTAGAAATTTCATGATATTTAAATTTTTAGTGCTGGTTTCGAACTTTTGTCTATGATTATCTATGAATAACAATTTAATACTAGTTAATCAAATGGTATATAACTATAATAACGTAATATGAAAACTGTTATACTATAAGAACATATTGACTGCAATATTGTGATATATATATACATACATACATATGTATCTTTATGTATGAAAATTAATTTTCTTTCTAATTTTCATAAATTAAAAGCTTCATAAAATATCATAATATTTATATCGTATACGAGTACACATACATATTTGATATACTCATTATGTACGCGTATGAACTTACGTCTCACGACTGACTGTATATGTAAATTTAATTAAATAATTCTAAGATTTCGTAAATTCTATATGAAATTGTAAAATAGTATGTTACTGATTATTAAAAGTATACATGTATGTCATATATGTACCTATAAATATTATACATACATACAATGTACAATAACAATATACGAAAAGAATTTAAAATAAAAAATTGCATAATCGTATAACAAACATGTGTGTATGTAATATACAAAAGTTTCTGAACTTATGATAATTATAAAATATTTTATTGTAGTGGCACAAATTTCTTATCATACATACATACATATGTGTGCATATATGCTTACAAACTTTGAAAAACAACAATAATACAACAAGAAAACAAAAATATAAACAATTCATTTAAGAAAAAAATGGCATATAAATTTAAATATTTTTAAGATAATAAAAAAAAATCACAAATTATGTATAACAGAAAACACAAAAAAAAATATAACAGAAAAAAAAAGAAGAAAAAGTAAAAACAATCCGCCTTTAAAATTGTAATGTTACTTTTTTTTTCTCTAACTTTTTATTACATCAGAGGCTTTATGGCTTTACGATTCTTTATAAAAATTAAAAACATAAATAATATTTTTTTATTATTATTATTGTTATACCTGAGCTTCTACTGTGCTGTGCTGATCCATTATAATAAATGTACATAATACAAATTACAAAGTGTGTAGGTACCAATAACCTTCTCAGAATTTGAATAACCCAGAAGAGAAATACACAAAAAGAAAAAAAAAACCCATATATGAGAGAAATTTCCTGCAATTTTTAAGAGTAACATTTCTTCTTCCAATTCTATTGTCTTTTAATTTTCAAAATAATTTTTTGTTTGAAGGGAAATTAATTAAAACCAAAAAAAGAAGAGTAGAACAAAAAACGCAACACAACACAATTTTTAATAATTTTTGGGATTTTTTTTTTTAATTTGATTTTTTAACTTGTTTTTGGCAAAATTATTGAGTTATGTTGCATTGCCAAATAAGTATAAACTCTAACTCCAACTCAATATTATTTGATTTCTTCCATTTACGACTTGTACACATTCTATACCTTTATACATACATAAAAATGAATAAGAAATTACAAATTTCAATCATTCAAACGCACTTCGCTCTCACATCACATATTGTAAATAGGCAGCTTATACATAACTGTATTTTTGTTTTCGGATATTATAGACATTTATAGACATTTTATGTAGGTACACAAATAATTATGTACACATTTAAATACACATACGTGCATACATTATATTCAGGTATATACGTAAGACCAAATAAAATTTATTTAAATAATATTATTTTATTTATTATGGATTTTATGTACAAATATAATAATATATCGAAATTACTGTTTTTTATTTATTCGATAATATTATTTACATATACATACATAAACATACAATGAAATGAGCAACAAGAAAAAAAATGGTAGATAAAATAATAATAAAATAAATATTTCATTTCAAAACACTTTAACTTATATAAATATTAAAAATTAAAGAAAAAAAAAAAAACAAAAATGTGTATTGCAACATTCTCTCGCAGTTATTATCATTATAACATCTCCCAAATATACTCATATACATAACGTATATACAAAATCGCATCGATATAAAATTATAAATATTTCCGATTATGTTATAAAAACTAATGTGTGTGTGATGTGAAGATGATGATACTATGTGCCGCTATGGCAATAATCATCATTTTTATCTTATATACACACATACCTTCATACACATTGTGTAGAAAATTGTTCAGAAGATCCGAAAGCATCAACAATTTATTCATTTTTTGTTTTCTGTCTTTTTTTTTTATTGATGGTGTTTCCAAAATATCAAATTTATTAAAATGTCTCCAAAATTTAAAAAAAATACGAAATGTTGTATGAGTAACAGTAAAATATTTTTATAACGCACTGTGACTTTAAAACGTATACAGCAATTAAAGTTCATAAGCTGAGTAATTGCTGCATAAGCAATGGCAAATGCATAAACAAATTGAATTACTAATATTTTAGTAACATTGAAATTAATGTAATTATCATTTCTAAATGCACCGGGTATTGTCAAGTCTATGAATAACTCTTTAAATTTTACTGGAACTAATATGCAAACAATGATTTATAAAATGATTTTACTGTTATGTATTTACTCAGCGTGCCGCATATTATTCATTCCTACATATTTATGTAATATAGATATTAAATATATATATTCATATACATTCATTATATTAATGCAAATAATGCGAAAATTTAATAAATATAAAAAAAAAGCAAAAAAATAATAAATTAATTTTAAAATTTATATAGAAAAGTTTAGAGAGGAGTAGAATTTATTATTGATCTATTATTACTGTACAATAATATTGTTATATTGTGATATATTAATATCAAATTATCAATAAATTTAATTAAAATTTAAAATTTCAAAATTTTTAATGAGAATTTAAAAATTTCAGTTAAGTATAACTTTTAATTTAATAAAATTGTTTATAATTAGAGTTGATTTTATTGTACAAAATATTGTCAAAACACGATAACCTAATTTTTGGTCAAAATGAGTTAATAAAGAAATAATTAAGTTTAAATTAACACATCTTTTTTATGTCAAATCGGCTAAGGCGAGATTACTGTTAATTCTGATAATAAATGAAAAAAAACTCTGTAATTAGGTAGATCCAAGATTCTTGCTTCAAACTTTTCAAATTTATTTTATAACGTAATTGAATTTTATAACGTAACTTCAGAGGATGGACCATGGAATTCCAGAACTAATTTTTCATTTATTTTATAAGCCTCACGTAATATTTATAACATGTATAACACTTTACAAATGTGTTATACTTATACATAACTGTTATACTTATGTAAATTGAAATATACGTAAGGAAATATAAAAATTTATACTATAAAATATGTAAACATTGCGGTCGAAAAGGGAATATAATAATAATTACAGTTATAGTTAATGAACTATTTTTGTTTTCACATTATACTTATGCATAAAAACTACCTACTTACCTACAATATTATAAAAAAACCAAATACTCTTCTATACTACCTACTTTTTTATACACAATACTTTTGATTATATTCACTAATGTACCACATAAAAATCATTGAAATTTTTCTTTACATACTTTAAGGCTAAAACCTATAGATAATAATATAATAACAAAGTATGACAGAAGGAAAGAAAAAAAAAACTTCATGTATAAAAACGAGGAAAAGAGAAAAAGTATAAAAACTTTAATAAAGCTTTAAAAAGTACACAAAATTTATTTTTATAAACTTACATACAATATACATACATACATACATGTTTAACATATAATTTTAAAAGCAATATTACAAAATTTCATAAAAACGAAAAGAACAAAATAACAAAGAAACAATGAAAAAGCAAATGAATAAAACGAATACACTCTATACGAACTTGACCCAATTACTCTAAAAAGAAACAAAAATTTCCAATACATACAAATAAGCTTTTTTAATGAAAACTATTGTATTGATTTTTTTTTATTTTAGCACAATTTTTTTTTTATAATTTTCTTTTAGGTCTTTAGTTTTTTTTTTTAAAATAATGTGGAAAAACTTAAATTGTAAAATGAATATTTTATGGTCATTTTGTGAATGTAAAAATTTCCCATTTGCGCTTATTTTACAAACATATAAAATTTTAAATTGTGTTATAAATAAATATTGTAATAATGTTATACACATTATATGTGGGTATTAAAGTTACTTTTATAATATTTATGAAAAATTTAAATAATCAGAATCCGTTCATTAAAGTTAAATTTTCACTTAATTAGTAATGTAATATTAATTACGTAATTTGGTAATCGAAAAATACAAAATGGAATTGCGTATGCGGCGAATTTTTGTATTACTATTGTCATTTTTTGTTGTAGGAATTTTCGGGCTTTTTAATTAAATAGTAAAC